TTACTATGAGCATGATCAACCCATTCATGCAGAATCTAAAGCAATCTCACATGCAAACAATAGACAGAATATTGTACTACCTCAAGGGGAATCCATGAAAGGGAATTCTCTTTAGAAGAGAATGTGGAATGACCCCAAAAACTTATAGTAATGCAAATTACGTAGGATCACCAGTAGATAGACGATCAACCTCGAGATATTGCACACTCCTTGGAGGAAACTCAGTTACTTGGAGGAACAAGAAATAGAATGTGGCAGCAAGGTCTAGTGTAGAGGCAGAGTTTAGAGCTATGGCCTTAGGTATATGTGAGCCTATGGTATATGTGAGCTACTATGGATCAAGATGATTCTAGAAGGCCTAAGGATCAAGTGTGAAGGACCCATGAAACTAAACTGTGACAACAAATCAAAAATCAGCATAGCTCACAATCCAGTTCAGCATGACAGAACAAAGCACATAAAAGTGCATAGATATTTCATAAAGGAGAAATTGGACAGTAGACTTAGCTACATTTACCATGTCTCATCAAAAGATCAGTTTGCAGATATTCTTACAAAGGGACTTGATAACTCTATCTTTCTTAGACTAATTACCAAGCTGGGAATGACAAATCTGTATTTCTCAGCTTGAGGGAGAGTGTTAAATCTCAGCCATCCCTTGACCCCTGATCCCATGGCCAGCATAGGGATCTGTGGGAGGCTCACTTGGATCACATCAATCCTTAATATAATCCTTAATTTAGGAAGGATTATATTAAGTCAATTATACATTATTCCTTAATTATTTATTTCCTCATTAAGATACCTTGCATAGATCTATAAATAGAGATAACTTTGAGCAATAAAATTAAGCATTTTCCCTCTCCGATTCTCTAAAATTAACAAATTCTATATGCAGTATTTGGGTTCATGATCTCATTGGTAATAAGAGGATTATCTCATAAGGATGAGGATGATTTTATGATTGATTTTGCTACCTTGTAATTATAAATATGAAATACGGTAATTTTATTGCGCTGGTATCTCTAAATAACTGAGCCCAATTTTTAGTAAGGATTTGCTAATCCCATGTAGTGGAACCAGGCATCCAATTGTGGTAATGAAAGCATGCAATGTGTTTCATTATGTTAGTTGCTAAGATCATCCCAAAGGGTCGATTGCATGTGATCAAAAGTTAGGAATTTCAAAAATCTTGGATGTACCAAGAGTTGTTTTTTTCTTTGCAACTAGAGTTGATGTGCACTTCAGCAACATCTAGTTGTGTATCCTAGATATTAAAATTGATAGTAGATGTCAAAATTACTAGCTCTTCTTGAAACAATGTTAAACTTATAAATAATATTTTGAGATAAGTTTTCCTAGACATTAGATATTATGATGATGTTGAATCCTCCTTTCCTAGCTTTAAGTTGGAATTAATCGCACTGAGCTAAGAGATTTCACCACTTAGTACTGTGTAAATTTGGCACAAGGCTTGTGGATCAACAAGCAAATGTGCGACTTATGGCTAAGCTTGAGGCTCCATTGAAAGGAATGAGCCAACTAACAAGCAACATTTTGAGACTTAGTGTTTCCTAAATATAAGCCTACATCAATCCATATAATTCATGTTCATATGTTTGTGCTTGGTGTTTGAACGTGTCTATGAGTGAATGGGTGAACTGTGTGCATCAACAACACAAACAAAGAAGGCATGACTCATGAGATTTGTCCAAATGATTACAATAATGCATAAATAATACAATATGATTTGCAAGCGTATCTTATTCAACTATTTGAATCATTATCACAATAAAAAATTAAAAAACAAGTTATATATATATATATATATATATATATATATATATATATATATATATATAGCCCCTTCTACTCATTCATATGAATGTTACATGCAAAGTACACCCTATACTTTAAGCAAATCTTATCATAGAACTTCTAGATATATTATCTTTTTTTTATCCTACTTCTTCATGAACAATCCTCATTTATTCCTCTTAAGCATAGCAGGAAGTGTTAATTCTTGTTCAAGCAAGTATTTTAGAATGAGTTCTATTGATGTCATAATTAATTTGTTTTCTTCATTTTACTCGTTGCACATAAATATTCTCTCTCTTATTGGTGAATCTTTTGTTCATACTTATGCATTAACAAACCTAATAAGCCTATTTTCTATCAACTTATCTCATACATTCACCACTCCCACAATCTCTTCAATAAAATCATAATTATTCTAATCTTCTCCATTAACCAATCTTCCACCTTTACATTTTCATTTCTATCTATTCAATTAATTTTTAGTGACCACTTTTAGCTTTTAGTAACCTCTCTGATCCCAAGGCTTAAATCGATACAATACAAAAAGGGATGTAGCAAAGCAAGGGGCCTTCAAGACGTTTTCATATTCCTTTTATGATGTGTGTTTCTTATATTTTTTGTAATATGGAACTATTAGTGCATATTGGAACTTTAACAGTGATTGCTAGTGGATTAGGTTGTTTAATCAGTGGCAAGCTTTATACAAGACCAAGGCAAAGTCAAGGTCTTAACACATGGCTTGTGATTGGATTTTTCATGCAATCAAGTCCAAAGTGAAGGTTTGTATCGACTTAATGTAAATATATCTAACTTTAGTAGAACGGGTAGGTCAATCTAAAATGATGAAACTATGAGATCTTAATCGTATTGATCACCTGATCCCATCAATTCTAATCTAACAGCAATTTCCAAATTAAGCATAACTGATGTTCTTAATCAAGAGCGTTCATTGTTAATAGGCAAACATGTAAGGATAGCACCCACCCTAGTTAACCAACTCGGAAAAATCTCTGGGAACTTCAAAAGTAAAATGCCTTGAAAATCCAACAATGTTATTCCGACCATATAAGCCTTTTAATGCCCACAATTCCCTTATTAGTGTTTAAAAATATTAAATGGAGAATGGTGATTTATAAATCTAAAAAGAATGTGGAATGAGGCTAATGATGATGATAAAATAACCAAAATAAAGTAGTTCATCTTTAATAAAAGTTGTAATAAGCTTCATATACTCACATAAGCATATATATATATATCCTTGTATAAAATAAGTTTGTGTGGAAAGAAAAGGTCATTTGATGTATCAGCTCGCTTGAGATCAAGCTATTGAGGAAAGCCAACCCATGTATCTTTTGATTGATCATATCAGATTGAAATCAAATGATACCCTTCGTATTATTTCTTTTTAAATAGATTAGCCAATCTGTAATTATTTCTAATTTAATAATCAAAACAGCAGAGAGGGAACATTTTTAGGCCCATTACAAAGCTATTGAGCAAAGCCAAGCCATGTATCTTTTGATTGATCATATCAGATTGAAATCAAATGATACCCTTCGTATTATTTCTTTTTAAATAGATTAGCCAATCTGTAATTATTTCTAATTTAATAATCAAAACAGCAGAGAGGGAACATTTTTAGGCCCATTACAGTAAAACTAGTTTATTTGTTCAACATATACATGATTTTTTTTTTTTTTACATATACATGAATTAATTTTTTAAAATGGACTTACAATTTTTAGTTGATTTTATTTTTTTCTCTTTCTTGGGTACTCTTAGGTCAAGGTTAAATGATTTTTCCAGTTCATATAAACATCAAAGGGTCTAAGAGGATGACTTGAATTGTAAACTTGGTTTAATGAATTAGGTGAAAAGGCTCATATGCTCTTCAATGATTGTTGATTTTTTTTGTGAACTTCAAACCATACCTCGCAATTCAACAGATAAATGAAAGTTTATCTTATTTAAGCACTTACATATCATCATTACATTATAGGCAAGTTGCAAATGAGTTTATGTAATATAATAAAGACCGTGTATTAATATGCAGATTAATTACTTTATACCAAGACATTTTAGTTATTAATTATATAATCACCAAATTATATATCATAGCTCAGACAATATGCTTCTTAGCTTCTAGGTAGATGTCTCAAGTTCAAATACATCCTGTGTGGCTCACTTTAAATAACTCCCTACGTAAGTTTATGCCTCTATAATTAGCATTATACCGTGCCTATAATCAATAAAATTATTTGGAATAGATTTACATCATTGAGTGTTTGGTCACAAGATATCCTATCTTTCATAACTGGCATATACTCTATTCTATAACCAGCATTATAACCTACCTATAATCATAAAATAGTTGGTATAAGGTTAATAAATGGTTAGTTCACAAACATCTTGAGTGATTGGTTCACGGGCATCTATGCTTTTAGCATTTTGATATCACAACTAACGTACATAGCTACAATCTAGATGTCAATCATCAATTATGCAACTGGAACAACAACAAAATTTTAACAAACTAGATGGCATTACAAAATGCGAGAGAAAGAAAGGACAGAATAGCCATTGATCATTATAACTAGCACTTCTGTATGTACAGAAAACAAAACAAAACCAAAGAAACTAAAATTTACACATTGTATTGGTATTTAAAAAACATTGCAATCTAGATGATAATATCACAAAATCAGGGAATCAAATAGACCCTATATGACCATGTTCATTTGTACCATAAAGAGTAAAACAAATTAAACAAGTGCATATTCCTCCTTCCCATAATGTATTTCACAAAATAATCATTGGATATGAGATGGTGGATTGTTCCCCCATCCCAAATCATCTTTTAGTCTTCTGAATTTCTTTATAAAGTTGACAAAAGGAGCGCTAACATGTTGTAAAACGTCGCTGCTCTCTTTCAGCAATAAAAATGTTCTATCAAACAGTTTCAGGAACTAATAATTAGACGAAAACCATAATTGCATAGAAATTCTACTCAAAACACCATAAGATGTTCTGCCAATAAAGCAAAACACTAAAAAATATATAAAATTAAGAAAAATCCAAGTTAGCATTAACAATAAAAAAAGTCCTAGTTTCATTCTCCATAGTTAAAATATAAAACATAACAACCGAATATCCATAAACAAAACAAGGCCATCCCACATTACCTGCAATACTCCTAGCCAGCGTATATGATCGATGTCAACACCATATGTCCAGTGATTACGACCATGAAAGTATCCACCTAAAACCAATTTTGGCATCAGTTATCCAAGTATATCAATGAAAGAGCAGAAATCTTAAGGGAAATAAAAGGCATGTCATTACTTTATATGAATAAAATGCAGCGACATGGCCTAAAAGAAATGGAGTAACCTTGCAGCAACACACCCAACAAAAAAAGTTTGATCGTTCTCATGATGATTTTTCTCGTAGCAGTAAGTTTGTTGGTAGCTTTCTGCATAAAATTATAATATCTAATAAGAGAACTAAAACTAAAGGATATGCATGAACACTACAACTAAAAAGCCTCGAGTCCAAGAAAAAAGTGGAAAAATCATCCTAAGGTCCTATGATTGACTACAATTTATTATTTAATCTATTGACGAAAAAAAATTATTTTAAATCCAAATTAATAGTAAATCTTAATATTTATGAACATGATTATTGTTATTTTGGATATTGTTACTAAAATAATGATTCTGATTATTGTTATTTTATATGTAGTTACTAAAAAATGATGAATTTGGTTACTCTAAGTCTGGAGGTGGCTTCTGGTTAATTTCAGCACACTAATAACAACAAACAAAGTTTGAATAATCAGAAGTCATCAAATCCAAAACGGCAGTAACGATATTCATAGAAAGTAAGATTTCATGTTAGTTTAGAGTAAAAAAAAAATTGTCGCCAGTTATATATTGATAGTTCTCAAATAAAGTTTGATTGTTCTCATGATATTTTTTTCGAAGTAGTAAGTTTGTTGGTAGCTTTCTGCATAAAATTATAATATCTAATAAGAGAACTAAAACTAAAGGATATGCATGAACACAATAACTAAAAATACTTAAGTCCAAGAAAAAAGTGGAAAAAATAATCCTAAGGTCCTAAGGTTGACTACAATTTATTATTTAATCAATTGACTGAAAAACAAATTGTTTTTAAGTTCAAACTAATAGTAAATACTAATATTTGAACATAATTATTATTATTCTGGGTATTGTTACTAAAATAATGGATCTAATTATTGTTATTTTATATATAGTTACTAAACAATAATGAATTAGGTTACTCTAAGTTTGAAGGCGACTTCTAGTTGATTTTCAACACAAACAAAGTTTGAGTAATCAGATCCATTATTTAGTCATCATATCCAACACGGTAGTAACCATATTCATAAAAATTAAGATTTCATGTTAGTTTGGAGTAGAAAAACAATTTTCCCCAATCATAGAACCACATGTTAATTCTCCAAAAGTAGACAAAATGTAAAAGGTGCCAAGATAACATAAGGTTTTCGGCAAAAAAGCTTCTTGAAGGCATAGTAAATTTTTTTTTTTCTAAAAAAGACTAGATCACATAAAAAAATCAATGGCTGGATCAGTTTCATCATATCACATACCATTACGTCTAAAGTATCACATATTTCAACTCTTTTTAGTATGGATCTGCATTATTTATTATTGTTATATTTTCTCATTATTATTATTTTTATAATACTTTTTTAGAATCCTAATGATTTTTTCTAAACAACTTCCTGCAAATGTCACGATCTTTAATTTTTTTTTATTTCCATAGATCTGCTCTCACACTTTCATCCCTTGTTTAAAATTGTGCAATATGAGGCTTGCCTTGAGGCCTGCCTTTGCGCAATTCCAGTGAAAAACGCCTCGAGGCTTACGCCTCGAATTTCTTTTATGAGGCTTGCGCTTCAACTTGGTTGAGGCCCGCCTTGAGGCGCACCTAGCCTCATTGGTGTGAGGCTTACCCCTCACCCTATATATATATATATATATATTAAAACTTACATAAATCCTAAAGTAAAGACCCAAACAAATCACACTTTGTGCACTCCCAAGTCATGACAACTTCCTCTCAAATGCCTCAACCTCCAGCCCGTCGCCTTCGCCATAACCACCATCATCATAGTCGTCGTTAATGATCACTTGAAAGCTGCACACCACCACCAACTCTAAAAATTTTAGAGTATTAATCTTATCTCTATGTTGATGAAAAACATTTATGAAAGAGGAAGATACAACAACAACATCAAGCCTTTATCCCACTACGTGGGGTCGACTACATGAATCCTTTTTCTCCATCGGCTACATGAAAGAGGAAGATGTTTGAAATAAATGAAAAAGAAACATATTGGGAGGCATTGGACTCCACAGATGAGACAAGGGAATGATCAATTTGTTATAATGATGACTCAAATAAAGATCCCCTTAGTTATGACAATATAGATGATTTTCTAGTTGTTGACAACTTTTCAACCGTTTTTAGAAATTAAATGTAGATGAGTAGGGAACTGAGAAAGAAAGAATTTGAAGTTTAACTTAATATTATATGATACTTTTATGCAGTTTCAATATTTAATAATTTTTTGCTCATGAAATATTTGTATTTCAATTATATTTCATGTAATTTATCACTAGCCACTTTACGTCTTGTGTAATTTTTTGTTTCATATGTCATTGTATTACTTCATACTTCAATAGAAAAATAATATCTCATCTTTTAACATATTATTTGGATATTATATAAAATTTTACTTTTAATATTTATTTGCACTCAACGCAATTTTTTATTTTGAGGCTCACGCCTCAAAACGCCTTGAGGCTTACGCCTCACCTCACGAAAAAAAAAAAAACACCTCAATACCTAATTACGCAATTTTAAACATTGCTTTCATCTAATTGTGGCTCATCTACAAACAATTGGCTTCTCCCATTGTAACATCCTAATCTTCATCTCAAACGTGATATCCTTTATTGACTCCACCATTTATTTTTAAAACGCTAATATGGTTAACCTTGTTTAATCATCTTTGTAGAAAAACCCCAAAACTAACTCTATTGATACTCTCATTCAATACTCTTCGTCAATGTTTCCCATTGATACCACCATTGACGCTCTCAATCGATACCTCCATTTAAGATATATATATATATATTATTCTATGCCACTTTGAGTTTGCAGTGGAATGCTACCACATATCTAAATCATTACAAGTGATGGCTATTTATAATAGGAATTTATAATATTTATTATTGTTATATTTCCTCATAATTGAGGATATTCTCATTTATTTTATTTTTCTTTATTTTAATCTTCTCTTGCTTATATATAGGCACATATCTATGAAAAAATCGGCTAAAGATATACTCATTTTCAATTCTCTTCCTTCTAACATCATCATTAGCTTTCTGCCAATTATTTAAGTTTAGATTCAGCGACGGAGCCAGAAATTTTATTCAGGGGGGACCAAAATTAAAAATAGTTATGTTTGTCATTTTATTACTAGAGCTAAGAGGAGATGTAAGATCAAAATTAAAAATGCAAATAATATGACTTTTAGAGCTTAGAAGACATAAATATCTTCCACAGGCGGTCTCCGTTTGAGAGCGAGAGAAGACGAAAGGGAAAATAAAAGTCGTACTCGAAGTGGGGAGTCGCGAGTCGTGAGAAATGAGCAAAGGGGAAAACGAAGCAGACCATTTGGGTCAAGGGCTAAAATTTACTCGAGATTCTTTAAAATATTTTCATTTCAACTAATTTAAATGAGTTTTAAATTCAATCATTTTAATATTATTTCAGCTAAAATTTACTTGATATACTTTAAAATAAAGTTTCAAATAAAAATCAAAGATTTTAACTAAAACTTCCATAATTTTTTTAATGAGATTTTAATAAAAATATATTAATAAAGGAAATATATTAATTATAGAGGACAACACATTTTAAAACATATCTAAATATACATATAGGAGGGTGGCATTAACATCAAAAAAAAATTGGTGGATGGTCAAATTCCCTTTGCTTGATGGTTAATTTTACATTTTTAATATTTATGCATTCCCAAGGCCGGTCCTTTTAGTCTGCCCATCCGCTCATTAATAATAATCTCTCCGCTATTAGTGTTTGGATAAGAATCCTCTTCCATTTAGCATAATATAGATAAATCTTAAATCAGAAATTGTAGGTGAAGAGAGCTTTTTTGTTGGTGGTGATTGGGTGAAGACATATAAAACTTTTTTTTTAGGGGCGGCACATACCCCTCCTTGCCCCCCTCCGCCCATGTTTAGATTCATGAATCCTCAATTACTTATTCTCCATTCTTTCTTATTAAATGTTGCATAAAGTGCTAAAAATATTTATGCAAATCCTTTTGAACAACTTCTAACTACGTTACTATTTCATCTACCTATTTTTCTTCCTGGTCCATCAATATCAATTTTCTATGCACATTGTACTGATGCATCTTCTATAATTAGGTGTACATGCCAAAACTATCCAAGTTATTTTCCACTACCTTATCTTCAATATATGCTTAATTTTGATTGATTTCTATAATCCACAAGAAAAATCCACCAATCTCTGCATGATTGATTGTTTTGGTGATTCCACCCTCAGTTTGCCTTTTCTCTTATAATAAGAAAATTTGATCCCTTGATGTCCCTTTAAAGGCTCAAGGCAACGCAACATGAGCTACTGCTCAAGTTTCCTTTTTTTTTATAAATGAACACATCACAACACTAAAATAAAGGATAAAGAGGGAATTCGGCTAAAGCAGAAAAACCTATAACGTATAGAAGCTCAAACAACCGAATCATTACACTCTTTAAAAAAATAGAAGTAGTAATACTAATGCTAAAGAAGTGATTATTGTCTAAAAGAAGAAGTATAAGGACCCTAAAGCATACTCTGTATGCGAGCGCGATGGACACTCCAACACCGAACAGAAAGAAGGGCATAACGAAGTCAGCTATCGTCACGCCGAACCACGGCGCGTGGTTGATCACAGGAAAGGCTCCGCCGGCATCGTCAACTAGGATCATGAGCTGCGAAGAAGAAATGAATTGGTAATTGACTGGATATTAGAGATTACAACAAACACAGTTAACGATTTTATAAGGATTACCGCAACGGTGAGGCCGCGGAAGACGTCGAGAGAGGCGAGCCGCTGGTTTGGATCGGAGGGTTTCGCTTGATGGCTAACAGAGGTGACAGGTGTAGGTGGAGGAGAGTGGTTGTGGTCGGGGAGGATCTCCCCGTCTGTCCTACTAGTAGCCGGCGCTGAGAGCGAGTTGAGAAGCGGAACCCGCTCTTCCGGTATCACGACCTGGGAATCCATCGGCAATTTCACAATCCTCTGGGGAGAGTAATCGGCAGTGTAAGTTTGGGAATTTAGGTGTTTCCTAAGGTTGAATTTGAGATGCAATATAATTTATTTGTCAACTTTGTAAATACTAAATAGAATGGAATATAATAGGATAATGCCTATGTAAATCTTCCTTCTTTTTCTATCTTTTAAAAATAATTTATTTTTAAACTCACTCTAAATTAACCATCATTTGTTGTCATAAGGCACTGCTTGCCGCCACCTGTATTGCCTCAAGACACTATTGTCGTCTCAGATGGTTGCCCCCCGATGTTGCTAGCCTCTCTCTCTACCACCACCAACCACCCACGGCACCACCGACTACCATCATTAAGCATTGCTAGTCATTAGTGTTGGTCGTTGGCCACCATTTACCTCAATATATCGCTAATTGTCACCCACCGCCTGTCATCACCACTTACCACTAGTCAATGTCATAATCACTTTATATGATCATTTTATCCCAAACTAAGTACAAAAAGATGATCTCCTAAATTTATTTTACATGCAACAAAATAACTTTAGAGTAAATATATTGAATTTATTTTATATTGCATTCTTTTTAAGCTTTTACAATACATTCATTTTTTAAGTAAATCAAATGACCCTTTCGTTGAATGAATTGGTGAAGTGATTGACACATACAAGGTTTTAGCCAAACCTAATAATATTTGGAAATTTGATTTATATGCCTCAAATAAATGTAATTGATCAAATGTCACTTTTTTATTTTCTTGGAGAAATATGTCCAAATTTTTTTTCAAATAAAATCATATCTTCTACATAGAAATAGAGGTAAAACCACAATCAAGTATAATGCAAACTTTCAAACAAGGGAGTTGCTTGAACATTCATTTGTTTGGCACCTTCTTTATCGTTATAGATCTCAAAGCTTGTACAATCGATCTGTTGAAAGCTTCAAATTGAAGGTTTTTATTTTTTCAATCATAATTTGTTCAAGACTAACAATATTATACATTGTTATTTAGGTTTGAATATGTCATTCATATTCTAAAAAATATTTGCATTCTAAACCCTTAATGGCATTAGAATATGTATTACATATTACAATATGTTTGGACATTATTCAAATTTTTAAGCAAGGTGAACAATGTTTGAACAAGCTTTGAGAATAGTTAAATAAAGGCTCATGCATGGTTGAAACAAAGTTTGATCTGGGTTCGAGTTGGATTCGAGCCTAGTTTGAATAAGATTTGGGCATGGTTCAAATAAGTTTTGACTATTATTCAAACATCTTTTGATCTTGCTTCAAACCATTATTTTCCCTCATTGCCTTATGGAGTTAGACTCATTTGCAATATTTTGCTATGTAGGATAATGTTGACTTTAATCATACATATAAAGAGGCAGGTCATATATAAAGATGTAGTTGATATGCTCAACATGGTTAAATACTTTAAGGTTTATGATGTCATCGGCAATGTCGGGATATCCTCCTATAGTCATTTCTTTAAATCTTATGAACTATAGTTCTTTGATGCCCTAATTCATAAGCCATTACTAAGAATGGTTGATGATGAAGAGAATGTGGGACACTCAAGCATATTCAATATTAGAATTAGGGACATACATTTGGAGTTGCTAAATTTATTCTGATCACTACGTTGGGGCTTAAAATTTCCATATGAGAATGAATTTAAGAAGATGAGCACAAGAAGTAGGCTAATAGAAAACTACTTGGATAAAAATAATAGGTTTAAGAATCCAGATTCAAAGAAAGCATTCATGGAGTGCTTTAAGAGAGATACTATATGAAAGTTAGGATTATATTATCTTATTGATGGTTCCCTACTCAACTATACTATACACAACATAATTTTTAATAAGATTCTTATCTTAGTTGAATATGTGAAAACATTTGTTGGCTACCCATGAGACAACCTATCATGAGAGAGGACACTAAGAGTGTGATACCCCAGGCATCCATAGTGAAAGGATTCGTCTGACATTCTAATCGAACTCCATTCCAGTTGCCTTGCTCGGACCTGAAATTGTCAACCACATGTAATGAGCTTAAATAGCCCAGCAGGTCACCAAAGCCTACAACTGAAATCAAAGCACGGTACTGATATCAATATGCATGTCAGTCAATCAAATCCATAACAGTCAATGGTCAATGAGTCTATGCAGCGGAAATCAAATCAGTAGTCAATGCAGATATGCACCATACCAAAGTTAGGGAGAAAATGTGCAGAGAACCTTGGAGAGAGAGAGAGAGAGAGAGAGAGAGAGAGAGAGAGAGAGAGAGAGAGAGAGAGAGCACCAAGAATATTGATTTAAAAGAGTAACAAAGTGCTTATGGGCAATGATAGTTTATCATTGTTCATGAATAAAGATGCAAGCTTTATATAAAAATATTGTATTTTAAATGTTTGTTTATGTGGTAAATTATTATTATAAATTGACTATCAAGCCTTCTTTAAATTTTTTTTATGGCTGATTATTCATTCTATACTATTACATGGAGCTGATAAGGACTTCTTTAAATTTATTATATAAACTTCTTCTCAACCTATCTGAATGAGTTAAAAAGAGGAAGATAACCACTAGACATTTTATAAGCGAGTGTAGCGGTCACACTGGGGAAAAATTAGGTTAAATATAATCATTCACTGGTCAAGAAATGCCCTCAACTAAAAGTTGAAGCAAACTTTTTGTTGTTGTATAAGAGTTAAAGAATGTAAGACTTTACCAAAGAATAATCAAATAAGATTGTAGTAAAAATTAGATGCTTTAAGTAATTTTGCTCAAAATTCTACACATAAGGAAGTTTAATATAATAAGGAGAATAGAAATGAAGTATTTACTGCTGACTCAACTATTCTTTATAATGAGGTTGGAATAGAGATGTGTGTCACAACTCAACTCATAATTACCCATAGATCAGAAATGTCATATCATGTTGAATGATGATAAACCAAACCCAAGATTTAAGTTTTGGAGACTTTTTAAATTTCTTTAAAACTAGAAAATATATCAACTAATTTACTTCCAAGTAGCAACATACAAGCTCGTCCATAATTTTCTTTCTTCTTTTTGTTCTTCATCAAAATGTATATATAACAAAATCTACACACTATAATGTATAGCTACATACCATAGTAAAATAAAGCAACAACTAGCTATGATTGTATAAAAATCAGAAAATACATATACAGATTCAAACATATCAGAACTTGCAAACTCAACTACTCAATCAACTCTTTCTCTTTACCTGACCTGAAAGAGAATAGAGGAAGATATGAACCAACACAGTTCAGCATGTCACACTTATTGACCCCAATTTCTAATAATAAACCTATTATGCATTTAGAAATTTAAAATAAATTAGTAGTAAGCTATTATACTGAATAGAGTAATGCTAACAGCTAATATAATTTAAATAGACTTTGCAATAAATAAGTACTTCATATATTAGAGCAAAAAGTAATAGATTTTTCTCAAACTCTTATACCTCTCATACGGATATCAAAATTCAAGCTCTTATGACTACCTATGATACCATATCACAAAACAGGTCATTATGACTCTTAATGCTTAGGACATATCATATATTCAAAAATTTATCTTATTACTTCTTGTGCATTCAACACAATAAAACTTTCTCCAACAACATATTTTCTCATAATCACATAGTTCCAGTAGATAAACACATATATCATTATATTACAATAAAAAATGTAAAAAAAATAATTTAAGAAATTTACATAAAGCTTTACCCATAGGTAGTAGGTTTAACTATTAAGTGGAAATGCATTGTTTCAGAATTTTTCCAAATTACAAGTGATTATTTAGAACACTATTTTGAAGCAATAATTATATTACAACATTATTTTGTGAGATCAGAATGATTATTTTATTTTGCTAAAATAGTGCTCTATTCAAAATTATTCAATGGAACTTTTTTAGAAAAATATCAAAATCTCCATAATAATTATATCTACAACATACATAAAGTTGTACAGTAAAAGTTTAGTATGTGTAAAGTTAATCATATTTTTTCAGTACGAAATTATAAATTTAATAAGGAAAATCTAAAAAATTTTGAATTTAGAAAAACAAAGATAGACAAAATATAACATACCTTAATCCAAACAATATTCAAAATTGGGGTGACAACAGAAAACAAATCTCTCCTCTCTCTCTCTAGCCAACTGCTCTAAGGGTAGGGGTTTTGGTTTCGACAAAATGAAGATGAAGTGGAAATGGATATTTTTATAAAATTTGGACCTAGCATCATGGCGATAGACCAAATATAGCACCTCCCCTAACACCGCAACTTTGAATTATTTTGGCAAAAAGACGGAGAGCTCAATGCCTCAGCTATGCCAAACTTGGCACCTCGACACTCCCATGGTGAAACTTTTTAGAATTTGGTTTCATGGACAAAGACCACCATGACTCACTTTAGAAAAAAATCAAACATTCGCATGTATACATATCACTCATAGACTCGTCTAAGAGGTGTTAATGTAAAATATTTAGTATGTTATATTTACCATACTAGGTCAGAATAGGTAGAACTGAAAATTGCACTATTAGGTATAATAATTGATAAGATAAAAATTATTAATTTCAAATTTCCTATATTTATTAAATTTGTGCTTTAAGTCTTTATATTTTATGTAGAAAAATAGTAAAAAAAAAATATTGAAAATTGAACCAACACCATAGTGCTAAATCTCATTCTAGTGCTTTAGTGCCACACTTTTAGTGTCTTAGTGGAGAGCTCACAAAAAATTGGCTGAAGAGCTTAGAGTCGAGGCGCTATCCAAGAAGTGCTACAGGCGTCGTAGGGCCAAATCACCAACAACATGGCAGGAGACAATTGAATTGGTGAATCAAAGTGACGAATAGTGACCAACGTGCCGGTTAAGCAGCATCGCAGTGTCGCAGCACTATTTCAATTATTTTGCCAAACTATAAATAGTAGCCTTTGAGTTCATGTTAGATTGTTGGCAAATTGTGGAGTTATTTTGTGTGCGTGCGCGCGCGCGCGTGAACGAGTGAGTGTGAGGAGTTGTTCTTGAGTGGGAGTAGCTTTCTATCAAAGCAAATAAGTGTACAGGAGTTGTATCTTAAATTTAAGTCATTTTTTAAATCTTGTATCTCTTATTTATCTTGTGTTTAAAATTGTAAATTGTGTTTTAAGCGAAAGAAAATGTTTGTACTATGTAACATCATCTCCACGTGTAGCAAAACTTTTCTTTCTGAATTTTTGATTATTTAAAAAGTATGTATTGGTTATAGTAGGTTTATTCTTTATAGAATCCATGCTATGTTTAATTTCTCTATACTTCAATTTGTTTATTTATAGGTCATACATTAATTAAAAATATAGTGTGATCTAGAGCCTCAATAGAGGAACAAAAGAATAATTAGAAAGTTTAAAATATAGTTCAGCCATAACATATACATATGATTATTAGGATTATGGGGCTTTAAGGAGATAGAAGAACAGTAGTTAGGAGGGATCCTAGCTAATACTCCAACGAGCTTGACATAGAAAAGCTGGAGTAGTCATGCTCTAATCCACAACAATAATAAGAAAAAAGCACTCTAATGCAATAATATATTTTTTAAATATATCATAGGTTTAAAACTTATAAAAATTGTGAATTTAATTTTTGCATTTAAAGCTTTTTCTAACTTAATCTTCACCACCCATTTAAATCATTAAGCTAGATAAATTTAGTAGTTCAGTAGACAGTACTAAAGAAAACCTAGTAAATTTATAATTTTTCCTCGTGGGATCTACATTCTTCTCATCAATACATTACTTGACATAACAGATGCACTTACATTAAACAAGACTTACTCCATAGCAAAATTAAATCTTCTATAGAAAATTCAATAGTTTGTATAAGCTAAAACACGAAGCTCTATATTTATATAGCTAAAAATAGCTCCTATCAAGTTTTTGGCATTATTATCGGGGTACATAACTAGTGAAAATATTATCATTTGGCATTTTATAATACTAAACAAGTTGATAGTTTAATAAAGTTTTCTTTTCAATTTTTACCTATATAGTGTTGCTTTGCTTGCTAATTGTTAATGTACAATATTTTACATTCTCTGCTATGTTGCTTACTGTTACCTATGTAGTACTAAACAACTAGCAAAACTTCTGTTTAACATTGAAATTAAAAAGATTCTAAGAAAAATTAGAAAAACTAAAAAATTTTAAAATGATTTAAAAATGGCTAAACAACTAAAAAATTATCAACTTAGACCGCTTAGAAAATACACTAACCCTATGGTTGAAAGTATTCTTCAATAAATTTTTGTTATCATTAACCATTCATACCTCCAAAAACAAAAGCTTCTATTTCACTAATACATTGAGATTTTGACTAATCATTCAAATTGCATTTTCTATGGACTTCTAATTCAAAGCATCAACCAAAAGTTAGCTTTTTCATTATAATATTATATAATAAAATTATAAGCTTTAATCAACTCAAGCTGTCTTATCTACCTCAACTTTAACTCTTTTTTTGTGAAGAATGTATTTTAAACTATAATGATCATAAGTATTTTATATTTCACCCCATACAAAAAATTATAATTAGATCTTAAATTAGATTGTTGTTTAATTCAATACCTTAAATTTATATAAGGACACTAAGGTTCTGTTTGGAATGACTTTCTTATTACTTTTTAAAACAACAATTTAGTTCAAAAAATTTTTATACTAAAAAATTACTTTAAAAATTAATAAAAAAACGTCATAAATGATCATTTATCATCCAACTACTGATCCTTAAAGTAGGGCTGCAAGCGAACCAAACGTTCGGCGAGCTACTCGTTGTTCAGTTCGATTAAAGCTCGTTTGCTATCGTTTAATTAACTAAATAAACAAACTTGAACAATATTTTAAATACTCGATTTTTAAATAAACAAACTTGAACACTAATGCGTTCGTCTCATTTATGTTCGCGAACAACATCATTTGAAGTTCGTGAACAAGCTCGACATTAAGCTCGATAAGAAGCTCAATAAAAGTTCGATTCATGTTCGATTTTGAACTCGTGAATAAGCTCGATAAAAATAATTAATATTTGACTATAGAATTAATAAATATAAATAAGCATTACCTTTGTTACATAGACAATTGCTTTTATTATAAATGTATTTGTTCATAGATATGTTCATGAACGTATTTGTTTGATAGTTAACAAAATTCGTTAAATATGTTCGTGAACAAGCTCGATAAACACTAAACGAACGAACATGAACCAAACATGAACACTCCTTAATTTAAATGAACCAAACATGAACACAAACGCTAAAGCTCGAACAAACATGAACCCAACTTGAACAAGCTGATATTAAATGAACACAAATATAAACACTCACATACTCGGCTCGGCTCGGCTCGATTCGTTTGCAGCCCTACCTTAAAGCACTACTAGAGGAGACACAATACTCTTATCACAAAAAAACAGTAAAATAATTTTTATTAGTCAAATCAAATCTAAGTATTTTCTTTTAACTTTTAATAGTGGTCAAATGTCTAACAAACCAATCCATCATCAAAATCACATCAAAATTCATTGTAAGTATTACAATCAGATCTACTATTAATTTCAAACCATAGACATTGTAGATCTTATACATATCACTACACACAATTCAAGTACAACGCATACATTTTTAATTGATAAGCTAATAGAAACTCCTAAAAAAATTAATGAAAGTTAAGAATGAAACAAAATTATACCAAATTGACTATAGATTAAAGCTTTATTTAGGATAACTTTCTTACAATTTTTTAAAGTAACTTTTTAATATCAAAATAAAAAAAGTGTACTAAAAAGCTGTTTTTAAAAAGCAGTAAAAAAAAAATCATCCCAAACAAAACCCGAGTTCAAGTACTTGTTCGCACATATATGCAATTCAAATGATTGAAGAGCTTGTACGCCCTTGGATAACATTATTGGTGGGTCTTCAAGAGAAAAAATAGCTTTTTTGTCTCCTTATGATAAATTGTTTATCTTTCTATGCTCCAAAAGCATTTCCTTACCCTTTAAGATCATGCTAACAATATGTGAAATGTCTTCTAACACATCAAGTGAGAAAATGGATAAGGAGAAACAGCTCAAGATATCAAAGATTTACTCACTTTTTTTTAAACATTCTAATACATCAAACACCTGCTCCTTTGAGCATACTTTTTCATCATCATCATCACAAACTAGTAGTGTTCTCAATTATTACAATAGCAGTATCACTACGCGCCAGAACAAAATCTGCCTCCTATCATTAATTCCAATAGTTAGTAAACTCGTTCTTTGTTAGAGCATTCAAAACCCAAGAGCAGGCTCAGGCTCAGGCTCAGGCTCAGGCTCTCTTCTTCAATCCTCATGAAGCCCACATGAAACCCGCAAAACTCCACACCAGTTGAATCTATCTGAATACCCTAGACTATTTATGGAGAAGCATTTTATTGCCAAACTATCAAATGTATCTCATTTAATCTCTCTAACTCCTCAAATCCAATATAAAATAATCTATTTACCGGTCAATTTTGATCCTAAGATGAATCTATGAGAGGGATTATTTTGGATCAAATTCGAGGAGTCGAAAGAGTAACTGAAACACATTTATAGTTTGGAACTAAAATAGTCCCATGCAAATAATCCAGGAACCATTTTCACAATTTTCTCTACTTGCAAAGAAATAGCTGCTGTGCAGAGGGTTTGAGAATGCTCATTGCCAAAAAATCAAAAATCAAGCAGCCTTTCTCTTTGATTATACAAAAATTGGAAACAATTATCGTCTGAATTTATTGGAGTGACAGAAGAATCTGAAGTCTGGATGGTTTACTTGGTGAAGATAGAGCCAATTGTCAGCTTGTTGGAGCAGAGAGGTTGCCATCTGCCGCTCATGAAACCCATTGGATGTCCATATAGAATTCCGGAACTTATATGAAGCAAGACCAAAGATGGTTAAGGATAACTTGTCACCCAAGTTCTTACTGTTCTTGTTCTTGATGATGCAGGGACCCATAGCCTCTGAATACCCATTGTCAATACCTGACAGCATAACATGCATCAAAATCACGATCTGTAACATCGTAATCTCTCTTAATTCTTTCTGATAACTAATTTATATAATCAAAAGTAAAATAAACTAAGAAACATTCCTTCTAATGAAATTAGCTGAAGAAGATAAGAAAAGAAAAAATTCTCTCATACGTTCTTCTAGCTGGATTTCTCCTCCTCTGCTGAACTCGTCTCTTCCTCTGTTTTTTTCTATACTGCTCCCAACTACTATCGATTTCTGAATCTTCCAGACTTACTGCTGCGGGTTCCAACTTTATGGTGTTTTTGTTACTGCACATCCCAATGGCTGAAGGCACATGACATGAGAAGCTGCTGGACCGCATAGACAGAAACTATTGACATCTTATGAGAAGTCCAACTCTGCCTAACTCTCCTTGAGATCAAATATGAATAACACTATGTGCAGCAGGAAACATCATCACCTCAAATTCAACAGATAAAGGTTTCCACATCCACGTCCAAACAAATGGGAGCAACAACTCTCAAATATGTCCGTGTTACTATCCATCAATATAATGTGGTAACCGCAAATCATGGCCTAGAAAAAGGGAAATAGTACTTTAGCTTTCATAAGCTGTCCAACGCGTACAAACTCACCCTAACTTCATTCCATAAGCTTTCATAGCCTGTCGAAATGTTCTGCTCTTAAGTCATCTCACCCCGCCCCAGTACATTATCTTCCCCTGTTTTGCCTGTTAAAAAAAAAAAGAAAAGAACGCCTTACACTTATGGGTTGACTTTCCCTAAATAAAATCGCAATTTCAAATAAATTCCTCATTCCCACAATCCATGAGCTCCTTAAGAACTCGGCCATGCCCAAATTTTCGACAAATCGGACCTCCCAGCCAACTACCATCAAGTGTGAATGATGAATTCACTATTATGCTATTGGGACCCACCAATGCACCATCTACTTTCCAAACCCTTATAAATACACTTTTATGACCTCACAACTGCAATTTTGCAATTATCTTTTTTATGACATTCTCATTTACTATTCGATATCACGCAATCACCTTACCATTGGCGCACCATTTTTCACTGCCTACCCTCTAATTAGCTGCATTTGTACCACTCAAAATGTGTCTTTGGGTAACCACAGATCCAATATTTAAGGAATTTAATTTTCCAATCAAAGGACATGGTCTCACCCAGGCAAGTTTCAAGCAATCATGGGTCGTCCCATGCCATCTACTGACAAAAGCATTGGTGGGTTTCTCAGACTAGAAAGATTTTTTACCGATATTTCATAAAAGATTTTGCTCACAGTACAAATCTTCTTCAACGAAAGTCCTTCATATGGATTGAGACTGTCTAGCAAGCTTTTTATGAGCTCAAATACTTATTATCTAATCCTCCTATTTACCATTGCCAGATTTTTCAAAATTGGCGTGATTCTTAGCCAAAATAACAAGCCAATAGCCTTCTTCATCAAGAATTTAAATTCCTACATGCACAAGGCTCTACCACATACATCCATGAGATGTTCGCAATCATCCAAGAGGAGGCCAAATGGCATCAGTACCAGATAAGAGCTTGCTTCACTATTCGAACATGCTAACGAGTTAATGTTGCAAACCATAAAAACTCCAAAGCAGCAGCACTTCCTTATCAAATAAGCAGACAATGTTGGACATAAATATTCCATTTCAGATCAAAGACGGAATGACCATCGAGCATGGCCAAATAGTCATCGTTGTATGCTGGGAGCTCCTCTAACTTTATCATAGTGACATCAGCACCAGGGGGTGAGGCTAGTAAATGATTCTACAAGCCTAAATGAATGCGGACATGACAAAATTTGTACAAGCTTGCCAAATTTGTTAGGCTATGAAGTATTAACCCTTAGCACCGACAGGCTTAAACCTATAACCATACCTACAACTTGTGATAACTTATCGATGGACTTCATAGTGTGTCTACTGCCCACAAAGAGCAAATTAATAATCATGGCAGTGGTCGATCGTTTTACCAAATATGCACGAATAATTCTATTAGCCTAAAATGAGAGAGGACAACGAACATGACAAAATTTGTGCAAGCTTGCCCAATTTGTTAGGCTATCAAGTATCAAACCTTAACGCCAACAGGTTTAATTGAACCTGTACCCATACCTACAAAAGCTTGTGATGACTTATCAATGGGGCTTCATAGTCTTTAAAAAAAAAGGGACTTCATAGTCTATCTACCGTCAGCAGGGGACAAATTAATGATCAAGGTGGTCATAGATTATCTTACCACATATGTCCACGTCACTGCCTTGTTGCCGCAGTCCACCACACACTTTGCTGCTACAATTTTTATTGCTGAAATATGATAGCTTCATGGCATACCCAATACTATAGTTTGAGATAGGCATCAAGTTTTAATGAGTTCCTTTTTGCGCACTCTCTTCAGTGAGAGCTAGGAACTTGAGTACCATGCAATACCGCATATCACCCAAAATAGGAGGGGCAGACTAAAGTAACCAGTCAATAACTAGAACAATATTTGCATTGTTACGCGGCTGATAACCCAAGAAGTTGGCTGAATTTTCTTCCATTGGTGATTTTTTTTTTTATAACATGTCCATGCATTCCTCCTGGCATGTCACTTTTCCTTGAAAGTATATAGTTGTCTACCTCGTGGCATATAATCGTCTGCAAGGCATACAAGTGTGTAGACCAAAATCTAGCAGTGGCTGCAACAACAGGATTACCCTTCAGAAACTAAACCTCAAACTACTACGGACATAGCAATGCATGAACCTGGTCACTGACATGAATAGATGAGATCTCCACTACAATACAAACTATCTTGCTCTAGTTAAGCTACAATCATATTGTCTGACCTCATTGCGATTGATACATTTCTCCAAGCTAAGAAAATGGTACTATAGCCCCTTTAAAGTGCTGGAATGCAATGGTGAGGTAGCTTATAAATTGAGCTACCTCCATAATCTAAAGTACATCCTGTTTTTCATATATACTTCAAATTTGTATGGCTAAATACCAATCTTCATGCAAGCCTACTACCACCAAATACTTGACAGAATTTTACAATTTTACAACCAAAACAAGTTTTCCAAGTTCGTAAACTTTTGCAAGGCACTTGGCCAATCACCCAATATTTAATAAAAAATGGCAAATCACCAGACATGGACGCCATTTGGGTACCAGAGATAAACGTGTGCAAGGTTTTACCTTAAACTTAGCCTTGAAGACAAGTTCATTTTGCCAACTGATGAGGGAAGTGTTACAAACTTAAACGATAGTCCAGACGCAACGATGGTGGACCAGCCTAGATTGCGTGGAAGAAACGTGCTCCAAGTAGTTAAATAATCAAATGTCCGGTAATAAGAGATGGTTTGTTAGAAAGGGAACACTCGTCTTTATTACTTTTGTTGTTGTTTGATTAAAATAGTTAGAGGGAGTGGGATATATATATATAAGGAAAAAAAGGAGACATTAAAAAGACTGAATTCCACTGATATATTCCTTTTCTTCTTGCTAAAATTCTTCCTCTGTTGAACTCTTCTCTTCTTCCTAGTCTATTTTTTCTATGTTCCTCACTACCATTATCTTGACTTCTGAATCTTCAAGACTTATAGATGTGGGCTCTAAAACAACGCCAAAAACATGGACACCAAGTAGGCATTTACAAAGCATTTAAATATCTTGGCATAAAATATGAAGACCAAAATTTGCTCAGGATGGAACTCAAAGTCACTATATATTTGCTTTGAGATGAATGCAATGCATGAGTAATCAATCAAAATTTGCATTATACTCATCTTAAAGCAAATCCAATGGATTTAAAATCCATCGTGACCATTTTTTTTTTCAAAAAATATTTCTCTAAGACTATAATCAATTTTGGCTCCATGTTCATGCATGCCATGACAAGTTATGCAAGAAAAATAAGATTGCTTCTGCGGTCAGGAGGTAAGGGTTGGGATAATACATGGTGAAGCAAAGTGAGGAACAATTAGATATGCCAAGTATTTACTTAATGTACAACAAGATTTCCTTAGTAAGCTATAGTTTTTAAAAACCTCATCGTCTTAGCTAAAAATAGAAGAAAACAACCAGGCCCATTTTACAAGGAATACATGAAAATAATGATTACCTTTTACTGGAGTTGAAAGCAAGTGAAAGGTTAGAAAACACGCATCCAAATCCCGCAATGTTGGCCCTGTGGGGATCCTATATATTGGATACCTGCAATAAAACAAACAAGTTAATGGACATTTGCATAGTAAGAAATGTTTAATGTGTCAAGGGCACACAACATCATTTGACAATATGGCGATGAAATATATACCAGGCTACAGACATCCAACTTGAAGGCAATAGATCACAGCTTTTGTATGTCTTCAGATCAGGAAATTTACTCGCAAGAGATGAAATCTGTTGTTAGATATGGGAAACCATGCATGTTACAAAAACATTTTAGATTGGTCATAAGAAAAATAACTTCCGATGCCAGATGTCCTTACCTTATCAGCAAGAGGTTCCCTACCATGGGGTGGATCACTCTCCATGTACTCAAATATTGGAAGAATTGATGAACTAGACGTCTCACCATCAATGCTTGAAGAAGCTTCTTGTCCTATAATGCTTGCACTTTCGACAAATGGCATGTCCCTGATAAGCCTCTCTCCTTCATTCTCGCTGCTACCTTCACTGCTAGTATCCAGGTAAGGATCCCCATCACTTTCATCAGCAGGTCGCCTTAGGATAATCAAGATAGTTAACACAAAATTCACTACTAAAAGTAAGTTAACACACAACAAAACTCAATTTTACAACTGATAACTTTCAAAAGGGTTCTATAATGTGTTGTTCCAACTCCATTTATGCCAAATTATTTAGGCTTTCCAAAGTCTATCATAGGCTTTAATTAGCCAAAAATCATGATTTTCATTGACGGACAATCAATTAAGGTTCATTTAAGCTCATTTATAATATAATGTACTTCTACAATGGTCATGAAACTTCTGAGTGCTGAAAAGGATTAATGAATAATGAGGATCTTATTGAAAGAAAAGCTAAAGAGAGTAATTATTCTTTAGAGGGATAAGAGGCATATGATATGAGTAAACAATGGCTTCACAAAAAGTTAAAGAGGAAGCATATTGGCATCAAAAGACTAATGGGATTTGGAAGGACACAACTATTTTCACAAGGTGACGACTTGGAAGGACAACTATTTTCACAAGGTGACGACTGGGTGAGGCAAATTCACTTTTATTCGCCAAATTAAGCTTGGGGAGGATGTTATCCAATTTAAGAATGAGATTTCCACTGATTTCACAAAATTTTACGAAGACCTTTTAGGAAAATGAAATCACTCTAATTACTATAATTACCTTTTGAAATTTTATCCCCATGATAATGCAGAGCTATTGAAAGATTTCAATTTACTATTCAACATGAAGAGTTAAAGGTTGTAATTTTCTCTTTGAGACCCAATAAATATTTAGGACCTGGCAGCTTTCCCATTAACTTCTTAAAGATTCTATGGGAAATGATTAAGGATAATTTGTTACTTATGTTAAAAGATCTTCACAATGGTAAGGTGACTCAAGAAAATTTATTTTCAAAAACCATTTGCTCATTTCTAAATATGATAAGCATGAATTGCTAAAATATTTCTAATATGGGAAATTGAATAGTCAATCTAGCCATTGACCTCAAAGAAAATTACAATAAGAAGCATTCCTCGCATTTTTAGGCATCAGATCATGAAATAATTAAGAGATCAAATCAATTGATTAAAAATTACATGCTTTCTTAATGAATACCATTGAGGGTAGAGATTATCATATCACACCGATGAGAGCAAGGCTCTCGCAAGGAGTGCATAGGCGTGCTTGGGTCATCAACAATACATCATACAATGGATATTAAGGCCTTTATCCTGAATCATTGGATCATTTTTTTATTGCAATAGGATAACAATTAGTTTGACTTTTTAAACCTTTTTTAATAAGTGTGCTTTTTTAAGTTTATGTTTAATGTTAGGACAAATTTGTCATAATTATCCTGTAGTTTGAAGTTATCTAGTTTGTTACTAGTAGATATGTTTCCCTGCTTTTATGAAGTTTGTTTAGGAGTGGCACAGCCACCCAACTCCACATGGGTTGCTACCTCAGAAACACTATTAGTTAACAATAGCTAGAAGAATGGTATATATATATATATATATATATATATATAGTACATATGAGTAAGCACAAGGTGAGCGCCATCATAATATGCAATTTGTCATGTGTAACACTATGCCCAACACATGAAAAAAAATGAATGCTTGTGGTAACACAATTAATCAAAAAAATTGAATGTTAATCACAAAACCATGGTGATATTGGATTTGAACATCAAATTTGTGACATTAAGAAATCCAATGAAACTAGTAAATTCTTTTGATACATCAATTCATACTTGGTTGTCAGTTGTCACCATTGCATGGAAAGTTAATTTTGGTTGTTGATAGACTACGCAATTGGCTTGCTCATTGGGCTTAAGCTTTTGGATGGAAAAGAGTCTACCACGGGTAAGTCTAAGCCAAATCTAAGCCAATCCCATTTTTAATCCTTCATCCCAAACAAGATGTTAAAAGTATACACAAATTCACAAAACAAGATGTGTTCATTCCATGGACATATAATGTCATGATTAAATCTCCCCATGATAAAGTATGCACACGTAAATCTGCATAACTGAGTAGCATCCACTCAAATAAGGGAACCTTTCAAATTTACATAGAGCAATAAAAAGAACAATGCTAGTTGATCACTCTTGCAGTCATTTAGCCGCTAAGAGCATATTGAATACTAAGCAAGGAAACAAAGCATAAGAGAAAAATTGGATACAAGCTCAATAGAGAACAACAACCATCTACACTCGAATCTTCTACCTTTCATGAAAGAGGCCGTTATGAAACAGCTTGTGCATGTGCCACCAAGTGAAGCACACACATCACTTTTAAGAGAAAGCTGTAGCAAAAGGTTGACATAAACACTTATCCTAGCACATCGGGCATGGTATAGTCCAGTGGCGGATACAGGAGGGGTCCTGAGGGGGCACGTGTCCCCTTCGAAAAAAAAAGTATACATGTACACGGATTGGCCATTTTGGGCGGTGCAGACATTGGCTGTTCGGCTTCACCGCTTAGGCGCTTCACAAAAATAGAATTTTGATGCGCATAGAAGTTCTCGTCGCCTCTCTACATCCGGCATCCACGGTTGCTTCCATCCTTCCACGCCCCAGCAGTCCAGCTGCAGCCGGTGCGTCCCGCGTCTGCCTTCTGCAATCCAGGATAGGCCGCCAGTGTGTCCTCCATCCACGGGTGCGTATTAGTGTATATAACCTTTTTTTTATTTTGATTGCTGTCGTTCGGCACAGGCAGCAGTAGCACTAATATAAATTTTATCTGGCAGCCCTAAGCCCTTGCTATCAGATTCTGCTTCTTGGCTTCTTCCATCTTGGATCAGCTCATCGGATTATGCATTTTTGCTTCTTGGCTTCTTCCGTCCGGCAACCCTAAGCTTGATTCCTGAAGATAAGTATTTATTTTAGTTTTCTTGTTTTCTTTATTGGATTTATAATGGCTTTTGTTTTAGATTTTGTTTTACTTTTCTTAGTTTTCTAAATTAGATTTCGTTCATTGTTTATGCTTTACAGTTTTGTATTTTTTGTATATGATAAAAAAAATTTGCAGTTTGTTGCATTATGAATTTTGAGTTTTCTTGTTTTCTAAATTAGATTTCATTCATTGTTTATAGTTTTGTATTTTGTTTGTTTAGGATAAAACAAAATCATTAGTTTGTTGCATGCTTAATTCTTAAAAAAAAAAAAGAGCCCCCTCTATGAAAATTTTCTGGCTCCGCCATTAATTTAGTCTCCATGTCATGGTGTAAAAAAAATGGTGAAGTTCACAAGTTCAATTACTGATATCCTCCCCTGCTCTTAACTTTTTTATTTTTTGAGGGTGTATAAATGCTTCCTCTAAATTATTAGAATAAATACCAGCAAGACAGGATTAGCGCATGTAGCAATCTACAACACAGTGAAGCGTCCACAAGATTCCCAAGCCAAAACTACTGAGTTTAGGAACCCTAAAAACTCTGAGTAATGAATAGAGAGATATGTAACATCAATTTGTTGACGGTACAAAATTCCAGGAAACAAACCAAGCAGAAGTGATTCTCCAAGAAAATATGACGTACATGCAATGCCAGAAGCAACAGATTGACATCTTCATGTTGGATAAAAAGAAATGCTTAATGTCTCAGAAAAGTCATACAGAATTCTACTTCACATCAACCGTCACTGATAACATGAGATGCAGGAATTTTTCACAGTAGACGAACAGCTTAAAATGCCCAATAAGTGATAAAAACCCAAGAGAACAGATACATCAAAATAGCTTCGTGGAAATATAGCCATACCTCAATATCAATGAAGGCATCGATGGATTAACGAAAAGCTGAATGGCCGAGAGGTACGGCACGTAGTACTGCACCACCGAGTCGCTCTCGTTTAAAACCAACGGTACTCCGGCGCCATAAGCGCTCCACTCCTTAAACGACTCCCACAGATCTCCCAGGGTGAAATACGGATGGTGAGGCTCCATAGCGTCGCGACTTCTCCAGCCCCTCGCGGTCATCTGATCGAATATCAAAATCCCCAATCCATTAAACCATAAAAGAAGAAGGCAGGACAATAAATTTCATTCCAGTTCAAAATGCTACTTCCAAACCTTTCGAAAGTACAAAGCAGGGACAATCGGAGTTGTCGACTGGAGAAAACGATCCAAATTTCCAGGAGATTGCTCTGAGGTCGACGCGGAAGAGTAGGAAGAGGATACAGAAGCCTTCGAGGACGAGACATCCAATTCGACACGGTTACCCATCGGCGGGTCTGGCGGCGGTGGCGAAGGACGATGCTTCGGCCGAGCAGCCGGCGCCGCCGCTTGTTTCCGCGTCTGCACCGGCGAGGATTGGTTCTGGAGTTCGCGTTGCTGCCTCTGCTGCTGCTCGAGCTGACGGCGTATGGCGGGGGGGTTGTAGAAACGGTCGACGCCGTGAGCGCGGGCCGACGAACCAACCATAGCTTAAAGGTGGGGAAGTAAGCGAGGAAGACAGGGGACTTTAACGACTAGTCGCCTGAACGTATCTGCTGGTTCTACTTGTTCGAACAAAGCGGATTCCGTCGACGATCGGCAAAGCCGGAGGTTAGGGTTTCGGCGTGCGTGAGGTGAGAGAACTGCTCTTATTGGGATCTGGTAGTACCGGTTGCGGGGGCGTTTCCGCTTCTCCGCCTCCATAGCGGATACTTCTTTGCAGTTTAATTCCTCTAAATTATAGTTTTGCATTAGAGTTCCTTTCTTGACTTACTATTGCATACAACCCCTTCAAGAATCAAAAGACCACCGATTTTGCATTCTTTTGTCTTACATACCATTTTATTATACATACAATTTATTATTTTTTGAGATTTACATACATATCATTTTATATTATATTATTTACATATTTAATATTTAAATTTTTAATATTTTATATCTATCACTCATAAATAAATTTAATATCAAACACGTCACTCATAATTTTCATTCATACCAACCATACCACTCTATAATTTTAATATTTCATTCATTGAACTCATATTTGATCTATGAGTTATATGCATGAAATATTAAAATTTTGAATGTTAGATATATAAATAACATGATATAAAGTGGTATGTATGTAAATCTCCTATTTCTTTTTATAAAAACATAATTTTTAAGAGGTAAATTTGTAAAGAGATCTTGGTGCCTTTTATAGCAATAGGTTATCCACATGGAAATGAATTTTTAGTCTGTCAAATGCCAAAATTAGTCTTTTTAGTGAGATTACGCCTAAGAAAATGGTTAGAAAGATTTCCCAATAAAAAGGCCTTGAAAGTTAATTAAAATTATCAAATAATTAATTAATAATACAAAATAAAAAATTCATTATGATTTTTTATATTTTGGTGAAAAGAATAGATTAAAGCTTTAATATAATGTATAATAATTTTAATCAATTATTAGCTAATTTGATTCTTAATCTACATAATTTAATGTCTACTTGTTAATATTCTACTCACTTAATTCATTTTCATTAATTAATAATTTATCATATCTCATTCCCTTCACTCGTTAAATTAGCATATACATATATACATTTAACATCATCGAATTGTATTTTATTTGAAAAATTAACAAAACATGCACAAATACAGAATTATCATTGATAGGTCGCTAAAAATTGCTTTGATCAGGTGAGAATCTTAAGTAAATTTAACATCATCGAATTGTTTTTTTTTTAATTGAAAAATTAAGAAAACACACATATATAGAATTATAATTAATATGTCACTAAAAATTGTCTTGACTGGATATGAATCTTGATACATATCTAAATTGGAAACTTCCAAAATTAAGTTCGGGACTATCTAAATTCTACTTTTAGTAAACTTACAATAAAATTGAACATCTCAGTAAGAAGAACCAATGACTCCAAAATCGTTCAAATTCAAGCCAAAATGAGCTCAAATCAGGGGCCATATTGAGAAACTTTAAAGCATTATTTGGATGACGAAATGATATCCAAATATAACATATAGTTGAATCGATCGGCCCGACAAGATGAATCTAATGAGCTAAAGATTACTTAATTCTAATATCATTAAGGTAAATAAATGTTGAATGAATGCACTATAATCGAAGGAATTAATATGAGCTGTCCAATGGAGCACACCAAAATTACCTTGGATATTCTTCATATTTACAAAGCATGCACTCTAAAAACCTATAAATAGTCCCCCACTGTCTATAGGAGTGGAATATCTAGGGTTAGATTTTTGGGGGCTTAGACCCTGGGGTAAAAACTCAAGAGAGCTTTGAGGCTTAAAACATCCTGGAGATCTACACTCATCACCACCAGCGAACCCTCGCCACCAGGGTGCCACTACTAGACTTCTTCTTGATGATCACACTCGGACCTCTGTCCGATAGCCATTATCAAGCCTTCGTCTAACCATCGTCCCTCATTGATTACAATCTCTCTGACCACCATCATCTTATTTGCTAATCTTTTGTTGGAAATTACAAATCAATTTTAAGTATACTTTCTTTGATAAATTTTGAACATAGACTTTTGAATTTTCAGTTTTGTAGTCGAATTCATCATCATGAATGATATCACATCAGGTGGTGAAAATATCATTTTCTAATGAGTTCGAATTACAAAATTATAAATTTCATCCATACTATCATAATCAAATTGGTATTCAATCATATGCTTGGCTATGATAGTTAGAATGCTTTATTGTCAATTATTGCAGTCGAATCGACGTAGTGAACTACAAATGGCCCCAAAGGAACAAAATAATTTTTGAATATGTATCTAATTACAATAATCTAAATATATTTATCATTAATTTCATATTCAACCATATCGATAGTAAATGATACATTTTTCTAAAAGAAAGAGAACTTATTATTAATTATTTGAATATGACGATAATGATCATCCTTAATTTTTATTTTCCCAAAGAGTGATTTTCCCCCTATTCTATTCAGTATCTAAATATAGTGGGGTTTGATTTATCTAGGGCCTTGAATCTCCTACAAAGGCAAGCTTTCAAAGTTAATTACATCGTAGGAAGATTAGGCTTCCTACGGATACTCTCAATTAAAATAATGATAAATATTTTATTTTAGATTTTCTAATAGTGATATAAAAGGAGGGATGTGAGAATTTTAATAGGGATTTCATCAATTTTGAACATTTATTTTGGAGACCAAAGAATGAAAGGTAGGGAGCACTTTAGGATTCTGAAAACTATTCAGAAGTGTCTTGGCCCATCATATGTTGGGATTTAAGTTTTGGAATAGAAAAAATTTTAGCTCGAGTTATTATTTTATTAGAAAGTTTGGATTAAATTCTTGATGTTGGGGACTATGATTTTAGGTCAGTCTCGGATTCTAAATCTAATTTGGGCACTAAATAATAGTGACATGATCCTAACTAATGACATGTAAATATGGGCTTATCTTGGCTTTGATTAGAGAGCAACTAAATCACCTAGACGCTTTAAAATCATGAATTTAATCTTATGAGATATATAAAAGGTTTATTATTTAAGTTTTGAGAATTTGGAGCTGATATCTAGAGAATATCTTAAGTGTCCCTTTTACCTATGTATGGTGGTTATGCTCGATGTAATTAAAATTTTATTAATTTTAATTAGTTTCTAATGTAATGCATATTGATTGACACTGGTATGCAAAAATTAAGCTTAAAAAATAAAGTTTTTCTTAGAGATGCACAACATTTTCTAGACAGAGCTACACCTTAATATATCAAGTGGTTTGCAACGAATCATAGACGGGGAGGTGCCTAATAAGGGGAGAAGATAATTATGAATGCATGAAAATCTCTGGCATGCTCGGACTTACTTCTTAGGAACATTTATTTTTTATGTAAGCCTAATATTTTTTATTACAAATAGACGAATATTTTTGTTGTCCTTAAGAGCCTAACCATATTCCAGGCTAAAAAAAAATCCAGAATGCAGGTAGTAAACCTAGAAAGGAAGATACTTTATACTGCACAAATAATTTAAACAAATTATCAATCATATTATATCAAAATAAAGTAAAAGGTCGTGTGACAAATGCCACTTAATTACAACCCATAATTTGTAGAAATTAAAATTGGCAGGACACCATTGATAGCATCCCATATTCAAATCCTATAAAATGAGTCAAGTTTTAAAGTATGATATTTTTTCCTCAACTTCTTTTCTCTAGGCTTCTTGATCCTTTAGGTTAGGATATCCAAATGAAAAGGACTCCACCTCGAAGGGGTGTTTTTTTTATCTTTGGATTTTAAACTTTCCCAAATTTGGATCTCCAAATGGAAGGAACTCTCCCTAAAGGGATGTTTCCTTCTTCTTTGGATCCCAAATTATATTCAAATACCCCACTTTAAGTGACTTTCACAACCCTTTTTGAATTTATATTTGTGAAAATTAAGTGACTCTAATATAACCTGCATGTTATCCTAATTAGTTCATATATAAAATCATTCAAATATCACAAGCATTTATAGAAAATTCATAACCCACATTTGAGCTAACAAATTTACTTGGCCATGTTTTTTTTTTTTAATTTTTAGGGGGTTAAACATTCAAAGAACATGTATAAAATTTTGTTAATCAAATTTTCATTTAGCTCCTTTTTTAATAGCCATGCATAAGATTTTATTATTATCAAGATCATTTATAACCTAGAAAAATCTAGTGACCATCACATATCATAGCACATATAGCATGGTAAATGAAAACATAATATTATATGCATCACAAATCAAACCAAATTACAACAACCATTACATATAGAAAACTCACACAAGAAAGAAAAGTAAGTATAAAAGGACAACGGTCTTGCCTAAAATTAGGATTGATTGTCCTAACAAATCATCTACTGTGTGTGTGTTAGGTTGTGTGGTTTGGATGTGCCCTAAATGGGTTGTTGTTTGTAGTTTTTTAATATATATTTTTAGTTTATTTGAGGTTAAGGGAATATTTAGTCTTATTTTAAGTTTGATATTTTAATGTTCATTTTAGGATAAGTTTTAGATTTTAAAGTTGGTTAATTATTATTTCTCTAAAGTCTTAAATTTTAATTAGGTGTTTTAATCCTTAAGACTCAAAATTTAATACACTTGTGCCCTCTAGAATGAATTCTACATAAGGTATGGAGGCTATATTTATCAATAATTTATTATTAATTATTTAGGTTAAATAATAATTGACTTTATTTACACTAAGACCGTAAGGTTTATTTCACTCTCATTATGACTAACTTAATAGCATCGTAGGCCCAAGTTACCTATTAGTTATTTTTGTGTTTATGTTTGATTCAATTTATCTATTAAATTATTTAAGCTTGTGATTATCTTATTAAAGATTTTTTAAGTTTATGATATATGGTTTGCATTCCATCAAATTCGTTTGTGATGTTGTCACAATGGGCATGAGGACCTAATGCCACAGTTCGAAGATGTCCATCCAAAATACTTTATTGATGTAATATTGGCTGTATATTTTAATGTTATAACCTTATATAATTAATTGGATTGATGATTTACTAAAACTTTGATCATTTATTAATTTTTGGTACTTTATTGAATATTTTAATGCATTAAATAAATAGTATATTTTTTTGACTTTTTTATTTACATTAATCTTTATATTTTATATTTTTATTAATATTAGATCATTTTGTTGGATTTAAAATTTTTATAATTAG